AAAAAAAAAAAAAAAAAAGAAAATAGAAGAAAGGAATGAAAAAAGCAGAAAATAAACCAGAAAGGCTTGGTTTTAAGAAAAAGGTGGCTGCAAACCTTTAGCAAATCTGATGGGAGAAAATCGCACATAACACATGTACAACATTAGGAATAAGAAAAAAATCTTAACTACAAATTATTAGGAGGCAAAAATATTTTGCAAAAACTTCAGTGTGACAAAAGATACCATAAACATAGTTGAGAGAAAAGAAACACATTAGAAGATTCTTGCAACATACATAATGGAAAAAGGATAAATATCCAGAAAACGCAAATAACTCCTACAAATCAATAAGGAAAAAAACAACCCAATAGAAAATGGGCAAAAGAAAAGAGCAGGCAATCACAGCAAAAGAAACTAAGTGACCGATAAACATAAAATGCTCAACCTCAACAAAATGAGGGCAATGCAAACTAAAACAAGCTATCATCTCTCACCCATCAGTTTAGCAAAAAGCACTAATTTAAATTATTAATCAGTGAGTATTAGCAAGCAAGTGGAGGACTAAAAACCTCACATATACCTGCTGATGGGAATGTAAATTGTTACAAACATTATGGACAGCTGAAAATGCAGACACCCTCCTCTTCCACTTCAACAAAGAAATCTGAATAAATGTCCTTCTTTGCTCCTTCCCAAAATCCGCCTAAAAAAAGAATTTAAAAATGTAAAAGATGTATCTATATTGGACCCCAGTACTGATAACTACATTTCTGCCTTGTTCCTTAGGACCTAAGTTCCGCTCTTGGCTACTTATCCCAGTATTCTGGGATCTAGGATTCCCTTTCAGTGACATAGTCCTGCCCCAGAACTCCAATCTAGAGCCCGAAGTTTAACTGCTTTCTGAGATACTGTCCTGATGCCAACAGCCTGCCTGGACCTCTAAATCTTACCCATTCTTAGAGTTCTTGGGGCTGGTCTCTACTTTTCCTTCAGTGTCACTCCTGCTTCCTTATTATTCTCCCCACCACAGTTGCTGGGACACACCTGTACCTATTGTCCTTCTCGCTATCCCTCCCATCTATGTACTACCACAGCTGAATGGCCCACGCCCAGCCACTGACATTTGACACACTGTGCATTTTAGTGGCTACTATACAAGGTGTGAATATAGAAGTGCTTTTAAGCATTGACTTTTACTTTAACATCTAGGAGGATTTGTTTGGAGTCCACGTAGCCTAGTCTCCTGCATTATTTCATCCCTTAGCCTACCTTTCCTAGAAATTTTGAAAATCTACTTTTGAAAGTTTATTTTATTTTTACTTTTTTAACATTTAATTTACTAAATGGTATTTTTTAAATTACTTTCACAGTACTGCTTTCCACCTTGATCTCTAAACATTTGACTTCATTAGTCCCTCCTTCTCTAACCAGAAGTGACTTCAAGCACTTCAGAAACTGTGGTAGGCTGAATTACGGCCTACCAAAAGACATCCCTGGAACCTGGGAATACTGCTTTCTGTGGTAAAGGATGTGATTAAGTTAAGGATCTTGAGATGGAGACATTATCCTGGGTAATCTGGATGGGTCCTAAATGTAGCCATAAGTATTCTTATAGAGAAAAGCTAAGGAAGATACTACCACATAGAAGAGGAGAAGGCAGTGTGACCACAGAGGCAGAGAATGGGGTGATGAAGCCACAGCAAAGGAATGCTGGCAGCCACCCGAAGGTGGAAGAGGCAAGGAGAGATTCTTCCCCAGAGCCTCTGGCAGGAGCATGGCCCTGCAGACACTCTGAAACTGATATTGGACTTCTGGCCTCCAGAACTATGAGAATAAATTTATAGGCTGTGCATGGTGGTTCATGCCGGTAATCCCAGCACTTTGGGAGGCTGACGCAGGAGGATCACTTGAGGCCAGGAGTTCTAGACCAGCCTGGGCAACATAGCAAGATCCCTTCTCTACAAAAAAAGTTTTTTTGTATGTTTTTTAATTAGCCAGGCATGATGATGCACCCAGCTACTTGGGAGGCTGAGACTGGAGGATCGCTCGAGCACAGGCTTCGAGGCTGCAGCGAAGTATGAGCACATCATTGTACTCTAGCCTGGGCAACAGAGCAAGACCCTGTCTCTATTAAAAAAAATAATTAAAAAGAATAAATTTGTTGTTTCAAGCACCAAAGAGGAAAAAAAAATGTAAAAGATGTAAATGCACATGGACAAAGAGAATGGGAAAGGAGATACAGCATACAGAGGTGTCAACAAGATTTTCTAAAAGGTGTAAAATGAATGAATGAAAAAGAAAAAGCTAAAAGCTAACTGCCTTAGAGGGAAAGGAAACAACAAAGTCAAGGCCAAACCAGAGAAGCCACAAAAAGATCTGAATTAAGAAGTATGAGGTAGGCTGGGCGCGGTGGCTCATGCCTGTAATCCTAGCACTCCGGGAGGCAGAGGCGGGCGGATTGTTTGAGCTCAGGAGTTGAGACCAGCCTGAGGAAGAGCGAAACCTCGTCTCTACTAAAAGTAGAAAGAAATTAGTTGGACAACTAAAAATATATATAGAAAAAAATTAGCCGGACATGGTGGCACATGCCTATAGTCCGGGCTACTCGGGAGGCTGAGGCAGGAGGATCGCTTCAGCCCAGGAGTTTGAGGTTGCTGTGAGCTAAGCTGACGCCACAGCACTCTAGCCTGGGCAACAAACAGAGTGAGACTCTGTCTCAAAAACAAAAAAAAAAAAGAAGTATGAGGTACCTCTAAAGATAGTTCAATTTGAGGCTGGAAAGAGAGGGTGTGGCTGAACACCTTGAAAGAAATCATCAGGCTTCCCATATCCTCTACTCTAAGGAGGGTAGAATAATGTTAGGGATATGAAGCACAGCTAAGGTGGGGATCGAGTACTACCAAGTAGAGAAGATAGGCATGAACAAGGAAAGGCTTGGGAGTGCTAGTTGCCTACATCATTATCAGTTCTACCCTTCTTCCTTACTAACAAAACTCCAGATTTTTAGCTGGGTATATGGCTGCCCATAATAAAAACTCTTTTTCCGGCTGGGTGCGGTGGCTCACGCCTGTAATCCTAGCACTCTGGGAGGCCAAGGCGGGGGTGGATCGCTCAAGGTCAGGAGTTGGAGACCAGCCACAGCACTCACTTTAGCCAGGGCAACAAAGCGAGACTCTGTCTCAAAAAAAAAAAAAAAAAAAAAACTCTTTTTCCTAGTATCTCTTCTAGGAGATGCAAACATACCTAATGGCCAATAAAATATGAGCCAGGTGTTGTGGAACAGTTTCCAGGAAACATCCTGAAGGCTGAGCCCTCTGCCTTTCTCCCTTCCTCCACCCCATTGTCTGGAATTTAAGTATGATTGCAACCTGACCTGAGAACAAGAACCATACTTTAGGATTTACAGAGCAGAAATCTGGAAGGAGTCTGAGGCCCCAATGAACTTCACACCCTTGAACTACCAGAACTACCTACCTGCCAACTTTTCACACAAGAATAAAATCCTAACTCACTCACTGATAATTTTATCTACCACATAGACATAAACCTAACCCTAATACAGGTGCCATACCAAAAACAGATCATATGAAAGATTGCATACCTGACTGTGAGATTCCCAACCTCCATTCCCCCAGATCAAATTTCAGGAGCTGATAACCAGACATTTTCATGGAAGGAGACAAGAAGCTCTCTCTCTAAAGAAACTGATAACGACAAAAGAAACAACACCGTGCTGGTATCTGGAGTTTCCAAAACAAAACAAAACAAAAAACCAGCAGAGTTCCCATCTGATCACCCTAGATCACCAATTGCCAAGGCTCTTCTAATCAACTTTTAGTTTAAAGCCACTCTATAAGGATATAGTACCATACAAATAAGTTTTGGGGAGGTTTTTTTTTTTTTGAGACAGAGTCTATGTGGCCCAGGCTGTCTTGAATTCCTGGGCTCAAGCAATCCTCCTGTCTCAGCCTCCCAAATAGCTGGGATTAAAGGTATGCACCAACATATCCACCACAAATGAGTTTTTCAGAATTCATTCTCATTAGTATCATACACATAAATGTATATTTTAGGCAATTTTAATAGAACACCTAGACAGTAATTTAAACACAACACTGAACTCTAGCCTGGGCAACAGAGTGAGACTCTGCCTCAAAAAAAAAAAGAAAAGAAAAGAGAAGAAAAATTGCTCTGAATTTTTTTCAAATATGTTAATTCCAAAGAATGGCTAAATATTCCTAGGTTAACCCAAAAGAAAAATACTTAAGTATCAGACTAATGATCCAGCCCAATAGTCTTTTGAGGGTTCAAAAGGTACCCTCATTAAATACAGCATGAGTTCAACAAACATTTGCTAAAATAACAAATTTACTCCATTATGTGCATACCTGTTTGTGAACAAACTGATTTTAAGCAACCTACTTTGAACGTTCTATTTCGTCACTCAAGTTTTATTTCAAATAATTGTAGCTCCTAATTTTCCGAATTCTACAACTGTCGTTTGATTACTTTGAACTTAGGAAGATGGTCCATTTCAAGTGGACAATGTAATAAGTAAAAAGCCGATATATGGTCCAGTGTCCCAATTTTCCCACTTCCCTGAAGCAACTACTGTTATGAAATTTAAATCTGGCCCAAGAAAGTCATAAGACAGTGAGAGAAGGCTTCAGTTAGAGACTCAAAAAGTGAAAACTAGTTCTGAGTAATTGTGGCAAGAGACATCGGTACGTGGCAGACTGTTCCTTCTAGGTATTGGATCGACGGAGCCTCGGCCAACCAAGCGCTGGGGCGGACAGGCAGGACGAGCGCGCAAGGGTCACTGCGGGCCCGTGAGGCCCTTCCTGCTCACCGAGAAAGAATGCAGACCACACCTACGCCCAGGCCAAACCAGGGCTGGGCTGGGCGGGGCGGCTCGGCCCAGGTTACCGGATTGAGGGAGGGAGGGAGGGAGGCAACAAGGGGGACGGCTAGGGGCGGCTGGCTGCACACAACCTCCCCACTCTCGGGCCCTCGCCCACCTCAGGAGCGTCTCAAGTGCGCCTTCGTGCTTGTCCAGCGGACGACCGACCGCGGCGCGGCGCAGCTTGCTCAGCTCCTCGGCCGCGCGGCAGTACTGGGCCTGCTCTTCCCCGCCGCTCGGGTACGTCTGCTGGATGAACTTCACCAGAGGCTTGGCCAGGTCCACCTCCGAGGTCTTTTTCAGCTGCACCGAAATGAATGTCGCCATGATAAGCGCCTCGGCCGCCGTTCGTGTCGAATAGACGGCGGGATGGCAAAGAGGTCCAAGGCGTTCGAGGTACCGCGCTGGCGGACTGGCGGACTGACGGGCTGACGGACGTGAGCTCGGCCTGCGCTTCGGGTCCGGCCACTTCCGGGAGCTGCGGCGCAGGCGCACTCTGCGCGGGGCCCTTTCGCCGTCCGCGGTCACGTGAAGGTGTCACGGCGTCGTGGGTTACCTGGGCCTAGCTCACCCTGCGCTGTGCTGTAAGATCCTGGCTTTGTCTGCATCTGGAATTCTTGCCTTACTTAGTGCCGCAGTGGGTGGACCGAGTACTTTCATGTAAGAATAACTGTTCCTCCACTCGAACAACCCCCTGCTGAAGTATTGCTGTTACTACCACCTGCGAGAGTTTGCGCCTAAATCCCCAAGACCTTACAGCCCCAGGGTTATTGTGACCTATGATAGTTAATTCAGCTATCATTGACGGGCCGCTGTGTACAGGTACTGAGTGCACAGCAAACCTAGTAGGTAAAGACCCTGCCATTGTGCCTGTCACAGTCAGGTAAGCACACAGACCTAAAGTAAACAAAAGAAGTATCATAAGGGAAAAAACAGGGTGCTTGGGATTTAGGATATTAAGGTGCCTTGGAGGAACCTAATTTAAACAAAATAATTAAACTAGGCTTTTTCCGAGAAAGTGAACTTAAAATAGCACCTGCAGTTTGAGAAGATGCTTGACATTAGAAGAGGGGAAGAGCGGACAGGGGTAGAGAGGCAAGGGAGAGCCTCCAGACCAACACAGTTTGCAAATGCCCTGAGAGGCAGCACTTCCCATGTTCAGTGAATGGAAAAAAAAGAAAAATGTGACAAGAACTTTAAAAGTAAACAGAGAAGGGAAGAAAATATAAGTTGAAAGAGTAAGCAGGCATCAAATCATTAGAACCTTGTAGTCCAAGCTAAAGAATTTGTTTAGTATAATAAATTCAAAGGAAGCTATAAATGACACTTAAATAATTTACATTACAATTTACATTTTTAAAAATAACATGTCCCACCCGTGGTGATGGCTGGTTCAGAACGGGGAATGTTGGTGCCTTTTGTGCTGCAAGTTAATGTTAAGAGGCTAATGTTTTAATCAAAATAAGCACTGACCTTAAATATAAAGATATGAGCTTTTCTCACGGGAAATTTTCTTTTTCATAAAACGGGTGTCAGAAATAACTGAAGAGCCAACAATGATGGTCCTTCCAAGTCAAGATTTTATCCTGATTGGAAATAGAGACATCTCAAGTTGAGAGAGCAGATTGGTTGAAAGCTTAACTTTTGTTCCCTCTTACTTCCTGCCAAATTTTAGGATAATTTGATTGTGAAAGAATGAATTTTCTGGACAGAAAAGGGGGAGGTAACAAATTGGTTAACAACAAAAAAACAAGTTCAGTGTTCATTGTATCATAGATCAGTGTTAAAACACTAAAATTGTAACCAAAATAAATGTCTTACATTACAAAGAAAAAAAAAAATAACACGTAAGCAATTTACATTTTTAAAAGGCCACCATATGGATCAATCTGATATTTTGTTTCTTTAGAGTATGAAGTATACAGTATCATCATATTTCAGGAAAAAATATTTAACTTGAATCTATCAGGCCTTTGCATCTAACACACAATTTATAAGAAATACAGCAGATAGACGAAAAAGTAAGTGATACTATGAGAAGTAAGCAAACAAATCTAGATGAAACATTCTGCTGTGTAACTGGCCTATCTCTTCAACAATTTATTGTCACGAAAAAAATCAACTGCTTTATGAAAGGAAATTAAGGGATATAACAGTGTGGATTGGATCTTGGTTTAAGCAAACTACCTATAAAATGCATTTTCAGGACCATTGAAGAAATTTGAATATAGATGGACTGAGTACTAGATAAGATGAAAGTGTATTGCCATGGAAAGGTGGAGATCATTAACTGAAAAGAGCAAGTCACAGAACAGCATGTATATTACAATATCTCATTTTGGTTAAAAAATGCATGTATGTGTATTTATGTACACAAAAAAAAATGATTTAGGAGGCTTTTACCCTAAGGTGTTAGCAGTTGTAATCCTTGGAAGTGGAATTGTATATTTTTATAATACTGTCTTTATTTTTACCTATCTTTTTCTGTAATTTTTACAGCACATGTACTACTTTTGTTATGATAAAAGTTTATTTTACCACAATTTATAAAAATTTTTTGTTTATTGTAATTAAACTATTCTAGATTAAAATAAATAAAATAGCCACCCTGGCTGGTGTGTAGAGAAAGTGTTAGAGGAAGGCAAAAATGGAAGCAAGGAGACAAATCATGAGACAACTTCACAAATCCAGGCAAGAGATTATGAAAGCTAACATTAGCAAGAGTGAGCCAAATTGATACATTTTTGAGTTAAAAGTTGAAGGATTTACCAATGAACTGGATCAGAAGGTAAAGAAAGCAGAGTAATCAAGGATGAATTCTGGTTGGGGGCCTGAACATCTGAGCGGTTGGTTGAATCCTTTACTGATAGAAGGAAGACTGATGCGTAACCCACTGATGAGGGTGGGGGATGGGTGGTGTTTGCGTTCCAAGTATTCGAGCAGATTCATTAAATTAACAATTGGATATATGAGATTAGAGCCCAATGAAAAGGTCTTGTTTGGGAGTTAGCAGTCAGTATACAAATTATTTTTAAGCCCTTGGGACTATAAAGGAATACAATGAAATAGAAATAGGTTAGAAGCTATCAGGAGATACAGTATCAGATTAGGTGTTTTTTAAGGTATTAATAGAAGATGCTAGAGAATCATTTTGGTTGGTTGACAGGACTGATCCGTTGGGGAGAGAATAGATGAGGATAACCAAAGAAGCCAAGTACATGAAAAGAAGAAAGGAAAGGGTAACCAGAGGAGGAAGGGTACAAGGGGAGTGGTTAGTGATCAGAAAGATGAGGGACATGACATTTGTTGAGGCAGATGTAGGAAAAAAGGGAACATAGATGTGGTTACTTTTGTGGCATTGATCAAAGGAAGATTAAGGTGATCTTATCTGATGGAACTTAAAATAAAATTCAAATTCTTTACCATAGCATGATCTATCTCTGCCTATCTATTCAACTTCTCATTTTGCCCCTTGTTCCTCATTTGTTACTGCTGAGTCACATTGGTCTTGTTCAGTTTCACTACTTGTGAAAAAAAAAAAAATTCCATTTCTACTCTCAAAAATAACACACCTTCTTCCCCAACAACAAGCACACCAATTAAGTAGGCAATAGACCAGCGGCCAAAGAATAATACTATGTTAGTCAGGATAGGCTAGCTTATGCTCTGATGATAAACAATTTCAAAATCTCAGTATCTTAATAAATATTTGTTCCTTGCTTATACACAATCTACTATGGGACAGGCTTAGAGCCATGCTCTAACCAGTGTCTCAGCAATCCAGACTACTTTGATCTTGTAGTTCAGCCATCTCAACATGAGACTACTTTCACAGGGGAAGAAAGAATCTATAGCATCATGGAGTGGCTTTTCTCTGCCTCAGCCCTCTCACTTCCATTCACATTTCACTAGCTAGACCCTCTCACATGGCTTCACCAAACTGCAATGGGACTAGGGAGAAACGTATATTAGGAAGCTTTAATAATGCCTTCCAAGGGTGAGTTTCACCGCTTCCAAACTTGCCTATGATGATATTATTAATTTTCCATCTATGTAATGAAACTCCATAAAATATATTCTTAGAATATATTCCCAACATAATGAGTGTAATATTTGGGGGGATATTAAATCAATAGATTTTCCTTCCTGATAATCCCTGGTTCTGGTGGGCCCATTATTACTCCCACTGATTGAACCAGTGGAAATAATTGCCTCTTTGGAAAGACAACCCTGCTGAAAACAGCTTTGAGGTTTTTTTTGTTTTGTTTTGTTTTTTTTTGAAACAGAGTCTCGCTCTGTTGCCCAGGCTAGAGTGCCGTGGTGTCGGCCTAGCCCACAGCAACCTCAAACTCCTGGGCTCAAGCGATCCTACTACCTCAGCCTCCCGAGTAACTTGGACTACAGGCATGCGCCACCATGCCCGGCTAATTTTTGTATATATTTTTAGCTGTCCAAGTAATTTCTTTCTATTTTTTAGTAGAGATGGAGTCTCGCTCTTGCGCAGACTGGTCTCGAACTCCTGAGCTCAAACAATCCGCCCGCCTCAGCCTCCCAGCGTGCTAGGATTACAGGCATGAGCCACCGCGCTCAGCTGAGTTTTAAAATAATGTTTCAAGTCCATGTTAAGACAATAACCTGAAAGTAAGCACCTGGGATTTTGGAGGAGCCTTTGCTAAGGAGAAAAGAGGCTTACAAAAAAAGAAGTTCAAAAGACTAACAGTTTTTTCAATGAATGAGTAAATAGAACAAAGATTTGATGTGCGGGAAGTTCCTACAGTGCAAGAAAGAGAAAGCCCTTTTGGTGCTCAGAGGAAGCGTCTACGTGAGAGAAAGAACGGCAAAAGGTAAATATGTCCACACTTCCTTACTCCACACTCTCAGGATAAATCTAGAGTATGGAATGTGGGCTGAAACCTAGAGGGAAGGAGGAACAGAGTATGAACACCCAAATAGACTTGATGAAATTAAAAACATCTACATGGTTCCCATATCACCTGGGGAAACAGCCTGCATATGCTGTGTATGGAACAAAAAAGGGCAATGGTGTGGGGCAGAGGCACTGGGTTTTTTGCAGTATGTAATGGAGAATGGAGAACTATTTTTCTCCTTTATTTGCATATTTCACTTTTTTCCCCCCCTTGAGACAGAGTCTCACTCTGTTTCCCTGGCTAGAGTGCCATGGCGTCATCATAGCTCACTGCAACCTCAAACTCCTGGGCTCAAGTAATCCTCCTGCCTCAGCCTCCCAAGTAGCTGGGACTAGCACTTTGGGAGGCTGAGGTGGGAGGATCACTTGAGGTAAGGAGTTCAAAACCAGGCTAAGCAAAAGCGAGATCCCTGTCTCTATAAAAAATAGAAATAATTAGCTAGATGTGGTGGCACACACCTGTAGTCCCATCTACTCGACAGGCTGGGGCAGGAGGCTCACTTGAGCCCAGGAGGTTACAGTCAGCTATGATCATGCCACTGCCCTCATGCCTGGACAACAAAGCCAGACCCTGTCTCTAAAAAAAAAAAAAAAAATAGAAACACAAAAGAT